TCATTCAGAGGACTGTTGTCTAGGGCAGTAATCTATAAGTTTTCCCCTTAAATAAATAACCCTTTTATTATCCACAATTCTGAACTGGTGTGGGGTTGTTTTGTGACTTGCGTCATCACAGAAACAATGTGCCCCTTGGTGCTCTCCAGACCTCCAGTCTGTATCTTTCTTGGAGAAGCATTGTCAGCAGACAGCCAGCAAAGGAAACAGCGGTCCAGAGTTCTGTTCCGCTTCACAGGCAGAGTGTATGGGAGAGCTGTTAGGCTGACAGTCAACCTTACTAAATTGTGGTGCAGAGGAGGCAGGGAATTGCTGCCAAGTGATTTTTTTTTTTTGATAATTATTTGTATAAAGCACTTGAGGACACCTGTGTAAATGGAGACCAATCTGTTTCCCAGCCACCCAGACCCGAATATTCACACAGAAACTATATTAATTACAACACTGTTTGGCCAGTGGCTCAAGCGTATTCCTAGCTGGCTCTTGCATCTTGAATTAATCCATTTCTATTAATCTGTATATCACCACAAAGTTGTGGCTTACAAGTAAGATTCTGGTGTCTTTCTCCTTCAGTAGCTACATGACATCTGCCTGATTCTGCCTTCTTTCCTCTTCTATCTCTGCTTGGATTTCCCACCTAACTCTATTCTGCCCTTCTGCCAGTTGCCTCAAAGTGAAAATCTGATCAATTGAGCTTCTGTTAGCTCTGAATCTGCACTGGGCCTCTGCTAGGATATCCTCTTACATGTCTGTTACATCAACTCCAGGAAGGTACTCGATAGCATCTGGAGGAAAGGACTTTGGGAAACAATGAGGTTCTACAGGTACCCAGAGAAAATCATAAGGATACTAGAAAATGTCTATAGAGATACCTTTCCATCAGTCAAAGTCTGTGGAGAACTGTGATCAACTAAAGACAACTGTAGGAGTGTCAGGGGAGCGTCCTCTCACCACTACTCTATAATACAGTCCTGGAATTAATAACAGCAACAGCCCTGGAGGGTGAGGAGATAGGCGTGCAGATAGGTGGTATGCAAATCAATAACTTGTGTTTCGCCGACGATACAGCAGTACTTTGCTGAAAGTCCAAACAAGCTGCAGGCCATGCTAAATAGAGTGGTGGAAGCCAGTGAAAACTTGGTATGAAAGTAAACATGGAGAAGATTGACATACAACACATGAGAAGGGCGCACAAGCATGTTAACACTGTAATAAAGAATCAGAACCTCCAGCAAACAGTCAGCATTGTCTGTCTGGGAGGAAACCTCAGTTCAAAGGAGGGAACTATTTCAGACACCAAGAGGTGAAATGGGGACAGCGAGGGCTGCATTCCAAGCACTAGGAAAGGTTTGGTCACATAATGACAACAGCAAAATCACAAGTATGTGAGACACTTGTCTCGAGCTGCCTTCTTTACAGCTCTGAAACCTGGACAGTGAAGCACTCCCTGGACAGCTGCTCAATGTGTTTGAGATGGCATGTCTCAGGAGACTTCTAGGTGTCACACGAAGAGATGGGCTGCACAATGATGACATTAAGAAACATCTCCATCTACAGAGGGACGTAAACTACAGAATACGGCAAAGGTGCCTGAGATACTTCAGCCATGTTATGAGAATGAATGACGCGGATTCCTGAAGACAGCACTGTTTGGAGGAATGAGTGCACGGGATAAGGTGAAGAGGAACGGCCAAAAAAAAAAAAAAAAACGCTGGATACACAGCATAAAGGAAGACTGTGGAACCTTGCGTGTGACAATAACACAAGCATCTAGGACTGCCCAGGGTAGGAACAACTGGAGATCCGCCACAAACGGGGTGCCCATGCATGCTTAAGCATTGCTGGGGCATAAGTGATGATGAAATGATACATTTGCCCTGCCATAGGCCAAAGCAGCTTCGTTATTAATCAATGGTAATAAAACATATCCACAGCATACCTGACTGATGCTTTGGAGCTCACAGAAGCCACCATGGAGACTAAAAGACATATAGTTCCTGTAGTGTGATTCTTTTTCCTACTGTTATTGGGATCTAAAAATCAGATGCTCCTGTTCTTTGAGCATGCTCACCAGCACAGGTGTGCTGCGGGAGCTCCTTCTGCTCCTTCAGCCAATAGCCACTGAGATGCCAGCCCACTGGGGTGTGGTCTCTTTATCCTTAAAAAGCAGCTCTCTTCCTCCAGCAACTAGACTTCTTTCCTGGCTGTAGTGTAGGACAGGGTTCTCAAAGTTTTTTTTCCCCTCAAATAACCCTTTAAATCCAAACTAGTGTGGGATTGTTTCGCGCATTACAGGTGGGCACGGCCCGGTGGAGAGAAGCAACAGGCAAGAACCCCAGCTGTAAGGGGTAAAAATCATGACTTCGAGAAACAGATAACCAGTAAAGATTGAACTGCAGCCATTACCAAAGTGAGACGACAGGGATGAAAAGTGTAGCACTTGACAGTTTATCTCTGTTGCCTTGGCTGTGATTGAGAAAGATGTTCCTAAGGTTAACATGGTGTCCAAGCTACCACCATTTCTAGTAGATAAATCTCGCTTTGGGTTAGTTTGTAAAGCGCACATAAAAAAGCTTATCTATCCAGATGAAGCTAAGCCAAGTGGGAAGAATGGTTGTTTAGGTTCACCATAACTGGTTAGATCCAAATCAGGATGGAGGTCGCTGGCACTTAGTTACAAGGTCTTGCAGCCTAAGCAGTGCTCAGCCCAGACTTCAAGAAACAATATGTCAATAGACACTTGCAACACTCCTGAAACTTAGACAAGAGGCAGTGAAATAGTCAAATAGTTATTGTACATTCAAATCAAGTCTTAGCGATACAGATGGAGGCCCGCGTTGGAGCACCGAACTGAGCCCCCCAAGATCCAAACGAGGAGCAAAAGGAGGAAGAAAATGATGAAGGACTGCGAGGGATACTATCACCCACTGATACAAGGGGTCGGATCTAATGAGAGTTTACCAAGGCCAGATGGACCGTGACTGAACGAGCATGTGATCCAACCAGATTCTCTGAATGTGGCCGGATTTTCTGAATGTGGCTGGCCTGCAGTCTTTCCGAGAAGCCATTGACAATGACACTGGGACTGGTTTCCTCTGCATATACTGGATTTTTGGGATCCAGTCTGTTTGGATGCTCACCTTCCTGGACCTGGAGTGAGGGGGGAGGAACTTGGACTTCCCACAGGGCAGGAGACCCTGACTTCCCTAGGGGACAATGAGGGAGGAGGAGAGGGAGGGGGGGAGTGGGAGGGTGTTGGGAGGAGGGGCGTAAATGGAAACTTTTTATAATTTAATAAAATTACAAAAAAAAAATAAATAAATAAATAAATAAATAAATAAATAAAACAAACAAATCAAGTCTTAGACCTGGCAGAGCCAGGTTGTCTGACTCCAGTGTCTGCCTTTTAGCCAACACACACACACACACACACACACACACACACACACACACAGAGAGAGAGAGAGAGAGAGAGAGAGAGAGAACGAGCGAGAACGAGAGAGCACACTCCTGGCTTGCCTTTACCTTAGGATGCCAGCATTATGTCCAATATGAATTCAACCCTTTTCCCCAAAGATAGATGTCTAAGAGATAGAATTTATTGGCCTATTTATCAACACATAATGTAATTATCAACTAGATACCAATTTTCCCTATAGAGGAAGATTGTATTGAATATTATATATACTATATATTATATTAGTATTATAGTTCTTTAAAAACTGTGTATTATGATTACCTTTTTCACTTGGGAAACATCTCCCTATTACAAGCTTCCTTGAAGTAAATGACAGCAACTAGAACCTGAAAGGTTGCTGGCAGTGGTGGCCCACGCCTTTCATCCCAGCACTTGGGAGAAAACCCTATCTCAAAAAACAACAACAAAGAACCTGGAAGGTTAATAATAAATAACACTTTAGGATCCAGGCATAGTGGCACACTCCTCTAATCCCAGCACTTGGGAGGACTGCATGCCATCCTGAAACCACCTATCTTAAAGAGAATAAACAATGTGTGTAAGACCGAGCTTCATCTTACCCGGCTCACATCAAGTTTTACACTGTACCATGGGGGGAGGTGTCAGCTGGAAATGTTACATTTTCCTTCTTTTCCAAAGGTGGTATCCATTTTCAGAAGCTGACAGGGACCTGTGCCTGTCTTTAAAGTGATGATGAATATGTAATCAAGTGGTATTTTTTAGCTTGATTTACAAAGCCCGCTTCAGTCCCAGTCCTGTCTGCTTTCTGCTCATGCGGAATGCATTTTCATGCATTCCCTTTCTCAGGTCTGTTTGTTTGTTTTTCCCTCAAAATCCTTGTTCTCTAGCTGTAGCTCACGTCTCTTCGGTAAGGTCCTCTTCCGGCCATAACTCTTGTTCACTTAGAAACAGTGTTCGACACATTTGGATCCACCGTCTTTTCAAGAGCTATGAAGGCTACAGTCTAGAACAACCGCTGGCTAGTTCCATGGTCTCAACTAGCTGTGTAGATAAGGCTGGCCTAAACAAGATACAGACACATCTCCTTTAGAGAAACACCGGAGACTCTCCGGGGTTATGTAACTCTCTGAGAAGTAAAATGCCTCCAACCCATAGAATAACTTACTCCTAAAATCTCGCTACTCTCAAAAATCGTGCTCTCAGCTAAAGATCACTTGAAAAAAAGTGCTTTCAATTCAAGTCATTCAATTACCGAATGGTAGCTACAGAATTCGGGTAAAAGTTCCTCCGAAAGATATTGAAATCAAGCAACGGTCAGTTTAGGTGAAAAACACAGTCAAGCTCATTAGTAACCAACCCATCTGGGCCCTATGGGACGGGTGACCAGTCTCACTGGGTACGGAGGAGGCCCCGGCCCGGGACAAAGCCTACGGGACCCGCACTCTGACCCCGCACAGGACCAAGCTCTCCCGAAGCGGTCCGTCTCACCGGGGCAGCAGCCCGGCCTGAGCCACCCGAACACGGACCGCACACACGGCCGGCGGTCCCTTCGGACACTCACCATCCTAGGACCAAGCCGGTGGTGACGATGAAGCAGGTGAAAACCACCGCGATGTAGAAGAGCGGGGAGTATTCATAGAGCGTTACCAAGAACACTGCGGCCATCAGGGTCTCCTAGGCTCAGACCGGCCCAGCCCGGCCGGTCGGGACCAGAGCCGGTATGGCGCCCCAGAGCGGACAAACTTTGTAGGTCCTCTCTCGCCCAGGCTTCTGGGGAGCTGGAAGCTGCGGCCACCGGAACCAGGATGCCAATCACAATGTTGATAGCAGGCACGCCACGCCCCTCCGGCTCCCGTCCCGACTATTGGCTGCGTAGAGGGAGCAGCCTCGCCCCGCCCATTCCAGGTCCCGGGGTTGGTGGCCTGAGAGAACTCCTCCAGCCTGACCCAGTTCGCAAATTCCAAACCGCAATTTGGGGGATAAAACTTTAGCTGTTGCAGATTCTCAGGTGCGCAAGGAAACCCTACAGACCTTAGGCAAATTTGGGAAGAGGAGCAGGGCCGGCATCGGAGGGGTGGGAGCGGAGGTTCTACTAAGTGAAATAAACTTAACTCCTGTTCTGGTTTCATCTCGATTTACAAATACTCACGAAAAACCAGAAAAACGGTCTCTACCGCCAGCGATTTCTTGGAACCTGGTCAACCTTTTCTAAGTAAGTTTAATCAAAGATAATTCGGCAATACGTATTCAAGATTCTCCTAGAAATAAAGCAATTGTTCTCCCACGGCCTCTTTTTCTCCTCACATTAGAATTAGCCGGACCTTTGAGGACTTTTAGCAACTGATTTTTGTTTGTTTATTTGTTAGGAGAATTTTTTCCTTTTTTATTAATAATTTTTTAATACAATCTTCTCATTTTACATAGCTATCCCCGTTCCCACTCCCTCCCCTCCTCCCACTCCACCCCAGCTACTCCTCTGGAAGGGTAAGGCTTCTCATGGGGTGTCAACAAAGTCTGACACTTCACTTCCAGGCATGATCAATGGAATATTACTCAGCAGCAAAAGACAATGACATCTTGAAATTTGCATACAAATGGATGGAACTAGAAAAAAAAACATTCTGAGTGAGGTAACCCAGACCCAGAGGGACAAACGTGGTGTGTACTCATTCATAAGTGGATGTTAGCCGAAGGAGAATATTTCAAGTACAGGAAGTAGCTTTACGTCTGCTCCCTTTCCTCACCCCGGTGCGCCAAAGCGGCATCCCATGGGGCTCTCATAAAACCACTTGTATCTATTTTACTAGAGCCCTAAAGCCCTACTTACACCTGGAGGTGGGAGAAACACCTCCCACCGCGAATCCCATTCTGTTAGGGAGGAAGAATGGGAGAATGGGCATTAGGAGCATAACTAAAGGTCCCTGCCATTGCCCTAAATCCACCAGGAAAGTCCTGCTTCAAAAAGATGAGTTGGCTTTGTCTAACGGCCTTGACCAAATAACCATTGTATTTTCTGGAGTACTGCTATTTGAGAAGCTTGTTTCTATATAATTTTTCATTAGTAGATATTATGTTATATAAATCTGTGCTCATTGTTGGAAATGGTTTCATTACTATATCAAGCACTACAGAGAACATCCATAAAGCTAAATTATTTCTTTAGGGTATATCACTAAGGTAAGAATTTTAAAATGTGTTTTAGAGACTAGAGAGTAGAAATGCTGTATCAAGTATACAATCACACCATTTCAACTGCAGCTTTAACAAAATTATTGACCAATCAGAAGGCAACTTTATTAGAATGAAACAAAAAGGAATATTTATTATGAAATAAAGATGTAGAAAACTGCAGGTAAAATCAAACATTAAACACAGAGATAGGATTTTGCTCTTGCTCAAACTCCATTGCCCTACAGTAAAAAGATTTAAGATGCCTAAATGCCCTTGCCACCATGCCTGATGGCCCACTTGAGTCCCCTGGGGCCATATGGTGGAAGGCAAGGACAGCAGGTAGAGGAGGATGGCAATGACACTGTCTTGGACTTAAAGTGTCTCTCCGAAGGCAGTGGTAAAGGTCTGATCCTCGCTGGTGGATCTGATCATTAAAGATGACTGCATTGCCTGGGCTTGGTGTGCACACTTCAAATCCCAGCACACAGGAGGGAGCATAGGGGGAATCTCTGTGAGTTCAAGCCGGCCTGGTCTACACATCAAATTCCATGCCAGCCAGAACTGTATGGTGAAATCCTGGTTCAAAACAACAACAATAACAACAACAAAAACAACAAATCAGTATACTGATCAATGGTAGCACATGCCTTTAATCCCAGCACTCAGGGAGGCAGAGATAGGTGGATTTCTGTGAGTTCGAGGCCAGCCTGGTCTACATAGTGAGTTCAAGGCCAGCCAGAGAGAAGCCCTGGACTGTGAGAGAGGAGAGAAAGAGAAAGAGAGAGAGAGAGAGAGAGAGAGAGAGAGAGAGAGAGAGAGAGAGATTTGATTGGAATGTGGGGGCTCTGACTTAACCAGCAGACTAACCCTATTGATGGGTTCATAATTTGATGACATTACTATGCGGTGGTGGAATTTGAGGTAGGGCCTAGTTGGAGTTATCTGGTCACTGGGGTAATAGCCATGGGATAGCCATTTCTTGTCCCTTTCTCCATCTCTTTCTTGGCTGCTATGGGGTGATCAGCTTTGATCTGCCATACCCTGCTACCGTGATACTCTGTTCTTACCATGAAACAGCAGAGTCAGCAGGCATACGCTGAAACCTCTGAAACCGTAAGCCAAATGAACCTCCCCTCTTGTTTCTCCTGGGAATGTTGTCACTGTGGTTTAAAAACAAACACATCATCTACTGGAAAAAGATAAACATCAACCAAAGAGCTTTGAACAAAAGAAAGACAACATGCCACATTCTGTTAGAAGAGGGAAAAAGGGCTGTGTAGACTTAAAGTGGGGGAAGTGGAAGAATCTGAGGTAGATAGAAAGCAGATGCTTGGCATGAGAGCTGACAGAAGCAGGCTTGCCGGAGTAAGGAAGAGGAGGGGAAGACACCGCCTGTCTAACCTGCTCCTGTAGGATGCAAACAGACAAAAGAGCTATGGCTGCATCCCAACCACAACAAAAGACCGCAAGCTTACATGAGGACTAGGGATGTAGCTGATGGAACACTTGACTGGCATACTTAAAGACTGGGCTCTATTCTCAGTACTTACTAAAACCAGGCTCTGTGGTGCATAACTCTAATTCCAGCCCAAGGGAGGTGGAGTTCAGAAGTTCAAAGTTATCCTTGGCTACATTGTGAGTCTGAGGCCAGCCTGGGTTGTGTGAAACCTTGTCTGGAGACAGAAAGAATGTTTCTTTTGCATTTTTTTCTAACTCCATTAATTCAGTTCTCCAGCATGAACTTTGTAAATTGCAACATTGTGTTGCAATGGCAAAAAGTTGGGCACACCTGCCCCTTTAACACAGACAAAGGCCGGGAGATGGAAGTTGAGAAACTGAAAGGTTAGGGTGAAGTATGGAAACTAGGAGAAATGTAGGGCCCTGGTCGAATAGGAGTCTTGCGTGTTAACTGCTTACCTGTACCCTTTAAGAACAATTGAAACACAAGGCTGACAATGTATCTGAAATTTCAATAAATAACTGGTGTGGGAGAATTGTCTGTATTCTGTCAATCATATTTTAATAAAACGCTGATTGGCCAGGCAGGCAGTATAGGCAGGAAAACCAGACAGGAAGTAGAGGTGATGCAATGAGAACAGGAGAATTCTGGGAAGCAGGGAGGTTCCTCTGCCACTCCTGCGCAGACCACCAAAGAGGCAGCATGTAACTTGCCCAGCTGAAAAAGGTACTGAGCCATGTGCTAACATAGATAAGGATAATGGGGTAACATAAGTTATAAGAGTTAACAAGAAGCCTGACCTAATGGGCCAATCAGCTTTATAACTTATAGAGATCTCTATGTGATTGATTTTCTCTGGGACTTGCTGGTTGTGGGGTACCAGGCGGGAACAGATACCCCAACAAGCCGGCCGTCATGTTACAAATCACTATGGCTAGTGTACAAAATAACTGATGGGAAGGACAGCAGGGTGTGTGTAAGTACTGGGATATCAACTACCAGATTATTTCAAAAGCCCAGGTAAGAAATCTTGCTAATTCTCCTTAAGATAGTGACAAGGACTTTCAGAAAAGTAGATTCTACTTAGAGGGTTTTTTCTTCTGTGAATAACAGAAAACCAAGAGGGATATAATTACAATTTCCTCTGAATGTCCAGACATGGCAGTGAGAAGCCAAGACTGTGTTCTGTTGTGGGAGGAACCTAGACTCCTTCTATTTTATTCCACTATTTAGACCCCTATTCCTCAGGTCTCTCCATGATCTAATGCAGTTGATCCAGGGGCCGTCACCATGTCTGCATCCTTGTTAGCATAGAGGAGGAAAAATGAGAGGCAACTTTCATTGAAGAAGGTTCTAGGGACATGTTACATATTCCATTGACCACAAGTCAGCCTTACGTCCGAATTTAGCTGCAAGGAAATTTTAAAAACTATAGGCTTTGCTCAAGGAAATCATGTGTTTAGCTAAAGACCAGAGTTTTAATACTTAAAAAAGGAGATGCAGAGGAAACTAGAAGTCTGTCCTAGACAAGGTTTATAGAATTTAATCATAGCATGTGGACATAGAAGAGAAACAGGAATTGAGGTTCTGAGTTCTGCCGGTAAAAGAATGTTGTAGTGATATTTTGTTTGTAATCAAAGAAATCAAACTTGTCTGAAGATCAGAGTGCAGAGCTAAATCACTAGTTATCCAAGAGGCCAGGCAGTTGTGGCATACGCCTTTAAGCCCAGCACTCAGGAGAGAGATCTCTGTTTTCAAAGCCACCCTGGACTTCACTAGATTGACCCAGTCTCATAGAGAAACAGAGTCAGACTGGTGGCTCACACCTTTAATCCCAGCACTTGGTAGGTGGAGACAGGAGTGATAAGGCTGAGTGGAGAGAGGAATATAAGGCAGGAAGAGATAGGCGCTCGGATGCAGTCTGAGGATTCAGTCTGAGCATGCAGTCTGAGGATCATAGAGGTGGATGCAGTGTGAGGTTTTGTAGAGACAGCATCGCCCCTTTGGTCTGAGCATTAGTAGAGGTAAGAACTCTCCCATGGCTGGCTGCTCTGCTTCTATGATCCTTCAGCTTCCACCCCTGAAAGCTAACTCTGGGTTTTTATTAGTAAGAACAATTAGAATTGGTGCTATGGAATGTGCCTAATTATGCTCTGACAGATTCTCTCCCCTTCCCCTGTTGCCATTCATCCCTGTTCTTCTCTAAGCACAGATCATAAATGGAATGCATTGCTAATCTTCTGCACACACTGGTGTTGGATGCAGGTTTATGAAAGCAATTCGGGAGATCCATTCTAACAGTGTAAATACAGAGTTACAATGAGGAAGTTAAGTATAAGGCCTGGGAAGGTTCCCCTCAAAACGTGAGGTTAATTCAAATTAGAGTACTTCAAGCTTCAAATTTACCCTACCGCTGAGAATAAAAGTAAGACAGTAGGACCTTTCAGGTACCGATTCCATAGAAGTATAGAGTATGTGTGGAGGATGGGAAGTGCTAAGGGGTACACGCTCTATGTGCATATACACCTTTGTGTATATGGATGGTTGTGAGCCACCCCGTGATTGCTGGAAACTGAACTTATGACCTCTGGAAGAACCACCAACGCTCTTAACCTCTTAACCTCTGAGCCATCCCTCCAACTCCTCCACCCCTATTTTAAAGATGGGGACTGAAGTGGCTAGAGAGCAGCTGACAAGCACTGACTGCTCTTACAGAGAAGCATTCACAGGGCAGCTTGCAACCCTCGAGAATAAGAGTCCCCAGGAATTGGGTGCAGCCTTCTGGCCTCTGCAGGCATTTGCACTCACACATATATATGCATAGACATAAATCAATTAAATCTTAAAAATAAAAAGATAGGAACTTACTATGTCACCCAGTCTATCTTGAACTCTTGAGTTCATGTAGTCCTCTGCCTCAGCCTCCAAAGTAACTAGGACTACAGGTAAGCATTATTGTGTCTAGCTAAAGAGATGTGGCTAATCTTAAGATTAATGAAATAAACTATGTGCAGATCCCAGAGCTGGCTATACCTATTGTCCTAGTTAGAGTTACTATAGCTGTGATGAAACACCATGACCACAAAGCAAACTGCGGAGAAAAGGCTTACACTTTTGGCTTACACTTCCACATCACTGTTCATCACTGCCCACTGCCTCCCCAGTGTTAGAACGACAGATCTTCACCAATATATAAGCGGTTTATTGATTGAGCCATCTTGCCAGCCCTAACTGATCTAGTTTTGTTCTTGAACAAATGGTATGGGTGTGAAGGAAGAGAGAGCAATGGGAACTTAGACTATAAACTGAGTGTCCTATTAATAGTTGGGTCTGGGGGACAGCTCCGTGTGTAAAGGGCTGGCCTGCGCAATGGTGAAGGCATCAGTTCAGATCTCCGGAATCCGTGTGAAAGCCAGACTGAGTGTGTGACCCAGTGTTTCTGAGTGTGTGACCCAGTGGTTCTGAGTGTATGACCCAGTGGTTCTGTGGCAAGGTGAAAAGACAAGCAAATCCTCAGGTCTTGAGCCAGGTAGTCTGGCATGTAGAACAGCAACAAGAAGCTCCTGTGGCCAGCCAGATGGAAGCTGAGAACCAACACCTAACCTTGTCCTCTGACCTCCATGTGTACTTGGGAGGCATGTACTGTGGCACACATATGAACCCGCACACATCCATGAAGACTTTAAAAAGGGAATTGGGTTTTCTTGAGTTTCCCCTTTTAAGAATCTGGTCTCTTTCAAGAAAATTCTCATTCTTCCCCTTTCTTTCCTCCCTTGTTTCTTGCCTCTCCTAAAATGAGAATTTGATGACAGCAAGTGCTCACGGGACCTTGCGGTGGGTGGGGCAGGACAATGAGAGCTCAGCTCTGTACCACGCATTTAGGTCCTCACCACGCTGAAGAAAGCTTTTGGCTTTCTGTTCTAGAGCATCCCCACGGCTGAGGTCCGGGGTTCCAGCCATTGACCTGTGTCAGGAAACCCCACAGAAGCATACAAGCCCTAAGCTCTACAGGCCTGTTAGACTGCTTGTCTCTGCTTTACCGGGGAAGGGGGCGTGTTATAGGAACATACAGAGTCTCCTACATGTCGCAACTGGTTTCAGAGGTATCTTAAGATAGCAGATTAGACCACTTCTGCCACTAAATACATCTCTACCATTTTAAAAATGGTATAAAGTCTAATTCAAGGCTTCTCCCCAGAGAAGAGGACTTTCTCTAATACCCCACCCACTTGGATCCTTCTATGACTATACCTCCCCCTCTGCCATTTCAGGCTGGAGGGGAAAAGGCAGGACAGGAAGTAAGGTTCTACAGAAATAAAGCTGTTCTTCCCAGTTTCCACAAATCCAAAGCAAAATGCTTTTCCTTCCTGCTAATGACTTTGTCTCAGCTTCCCTAAGGTGTGGTATATAGGAAATCCCACATTTACCATTACCGATATCTGGATTTTAAAAAATGCTATAATGACTTCAAAATTGTATATGACCCCCTGTTTTGAAAATGTCTGGTTTTCTAGGGCTGGAGCAATGGCTCATAGGTTAGAGCATTGGCTGCTCTTCCAGAGATTCTGAGTTCAGTTCCCAGCACCCACATGCTGACTCCCAGTCATCTATAATGGGATCTGATGCCCTCTTCTGGCCTGTAGTTGTACGTGCAGGCAGAGCACTCACACATAAAATAAATAAGATTTAAAAGAAAAGTAGAAAGAGAAGAAAAGAAAATGTCTGTTTTTTTAAAAAATGTGATTGTGTTTTGGAGAACCAAAACTCTATTTTTAGAAATCAAAGTTGTTGCTTGCTTTTCTTTTTTCTTTCCTCCCTCCTTTATTTTCAGTCTTCTGCTCTTTTTTAAAAAAAATTATTTTATTACTTTGTGTGTATGGATGTTTTGCCTGCTTGTACCACATGCATGCAGTGGCCCTAGAGGCAAGAGGAGTGCCTCAGACCCCGGAGCTGGAGTTACACTGTGAGTGATCACGTGGATGGGTTCTGGAGCGCCAACCAGGGTCCCAGAGAACCAATGCTTTTAACCGCTGAGCCATCTCGTCAACCCCCATTCTTTCTTGATTTTGAATTTCTAATGCCACAGTTCTAGTAATTTTTTGATGATAATAATTATTTCTTCACGACCAAGGAGAAAGTTCCAAAGGGATATTAAATAGAAGTGTTTTAAAAATCTCTCACAATTTTTTTTCCGTAAAGTTGCCAACCCTTTCATCCACATAGCCTTTCTTGTATTCTTTCATAGGAGGACAAATTTATCTTCGTTTCAGAATACCAGTAGTAATAAAATGGTCGTAATTTTGACGTACTTCAGTTTTAGAATTCAATCTGGCAGTGACTTGGAAGTAAAAGTCCTCGTAATCAACACCGATCACCATTTATTCAGTATGTGAATTCTAGTTGGAAAAGAAATGTAAGCAAGTTCTGGAAAGCTGGCAGGTCAGGAACGGCGCTCTGGGATAGGTGCAAGGATGGAAACCGTGCCTACGTTTGAAAAGCATTAAATCTGGAAGTAAGCTGTAGTCAACACGCACATTTACCACTAAAATCGTTGACTCGGGTTTGTCATCGTGAAATTTCTGCCATTGAGTCTTGTAGAAAATTTAAACGTTCCAAGAACCTGCGCCTCGAGGCTGAGCTCATTCCACGGTATCTGTGAGGGCGGAACGAAACAGGCTTCTTTAAGAAGCTCTGGGAACGCTAGCACAAGCGTTCTGCTGAATTTTGGACCTCGTCTCCCGCCGTCCGCCGTCACGTGCGGACCGCAGCAGCCGCGTAGTTAGGTGGAGGGAGGCTGAGCCGGGCGCCAGCCGAGGCAGGAAGGGAGGTGGCTGCCGAGCCATTCTTAAAGGGGCCCGAGAGATCCTTCAGCGGCGGGCCGCTGACGGCCGGAAGGAAAATGGTGAGTGGCGCGGAGGGCGGCACCGCGGGGCTGGGCGGGCTCGCAGGCCCTTCCCGACTTCCAGCGGCGGCCGGGACGACCCCCCGCCGCGGGCCGCCGGTTGGAACGTGGCCTCAGTGGACAGGAGTCTGGCCCTTGTGGTCCCCGCGGCGGGATGGGCTGGACCCGAGGGGTGGCGTTGGCGGCGAGCGCTTGGGTTCCCGATTGCATTCTGCCCTCGCCCAGGCTTCTTTCTGCTTGCCTCTCCCTGTTTCCCGCTGCATAGAACCCTATTCCTGCTTTCTTCAAGTCGAGGCCATTGGAACCCATGTGACCGGAGGTTCTATGGTTTCGCCTGTAAGCAACTGTCAGAGATTTAGTTTTGCTGCGTCTTGGTCCGTGGCTTCAGTTCTCCTTGACTATGGACCCCAAGCGTAAAGATAAAAGTGGAGAATTAAGTCAGTTGCCATCAAGGATCTTCTGGATCCCTCCCAACGTGCTTTTTAAAATACGATCAAGTTCCATGGAAACAGCAACAGGAGAACATTGTTGTTTTCTGTAACTCCTCTCTTGGGAACCACTTCCATCTAGCTGCTAGGCGCTAGCAGGTCTTGCCGTGGTCATTGAACCCAGGAAAGTCGTTGGTTTTCATTATTACGACCTTTAAACCACATTCCAGGGTGCTGACACTCCTGCTAGAAGCATTCCTTTCGCCATGCTTCCCCCTAAGCTTCTGGGATTCAGAACTCCTGACTTTTGCTCCTCCTCCTGCTGTTGCATCTGTTTTCCTTGGATTCCGTTCTCCATTTCCTGAACTGTGCTCCTAAGAACCCTAGCTAGGCTCCATCCTGAGGCTTCATTCTCTATTGTATTTCCTTTTGCTGAATTCCTCCCTCCGGTTACCATCTCCTTTGAGTTGACCTATGCGTTTCTATCTCTGACCTTACTTCTGAGATCCAACCAGAAGTTATATTCCACTTTTTGGTTAATATACTCAGGAAACAAAGCCGGGCGACGGTGGCGCAGGCCTTTAATCCCAGCACTCCGGGAGGCAGAGGTAGAGGGATCTATGTGAGTTCGAGGTCAACCTGGTCTACAAGAGGTAGTTCCAGGATAAACTCCAAAGCTACAGAGAAACCCTGTCCTGAAAAAAAAAAAAGCAAAAACAAAAAAGCAAAATAAATATACTCAGGAAACACTTCACCACACAGATACCACAGAGGCTCCTCAATTTGTCCAAAAGTAACGCATAGCCCCCCCTGCCCCCACATTTGATCTTCATTCAGCCAGAATTCTGTAACTTGACTAAAGGTGCCATTTGTGTCTGTTTCAGAAGCCAGAAGTCTAGAAGTTGTCTTTGTAAGCCTTTATTTCCTCCTTATTGAATCTAGCCCAATTCCTATGTAGTGATTAAGGGAAAGCGCTATAGCTGCCAGGCTACCTGGTTGCTTCCTGGGTCCACTACCTGTATGTCTTAGATTTCTCTATGTCTTAGATTTGGGGGAAGATGCTTGTAGCCTGTCTGAGCCTTAACATTTCCTGCTAAATGGGGATGGTGTTAGTGTAAGTGAAAGGGTGTGGAGCACAAAGCAGGAGTCAGCCTTGTGCTTCACACAGGGTAACTTAACTGATGTTCCTCAGTTCTTCCTTATGCTGATTTCAGCCTCAGCGGCTTGTCACCTCTTATCCGAAATGGTAATTGGTGCTGCTGTGTTCTTCCTGGCTCTCTGCCTGTTTGCTGCATATCAAAACAAATATGATCTTATCAGAATTCAAATATGGCCGTGTTTGCCTTCCCCACAATACATACAGCCTGTTGACAGCTTCGATTTGCCGATGGAATAGAAATCTGAGTGCCTCCAGGCCGTAGCCTGGGTCCTCACTCCTGTTCATTGTGGGCAGCCGAGTCACACTATGGTCTCTTGATTTGGGCTGCTATGCTCACTTCAGTCACTTTAGATGGCTTTTCCTGTGACCGTGGTGTTCTTCACCACCGTCAGTTCTCAAAGCATCTGTGCTTCTCCATGCTAGCATTTATCATAGGGACCGGTCTACAAATTTTTGCCTGGTCTTTTTGATGTAGGTCTCTTCTCTACTAGACTATCATGTAAGCTAGCACTTACCACAGTGTTGGTGTTCATTAACTGTTCATTTATTGAATACACCAATAAATGGGGCGTTTAAGCTCAACTATCTTAAATAACATTTACCACCTAGAATTGCCTCTATATCCTTGTACTCATTCTGAACCGCTTCCCAATGTAAACATGAGTAATAGCTGACCAAGCTGAGTCCATTCCCTTCTCTCCCCACCCTTTCCTTTTTAGAAGAGACAGTTGATCCTCCTGCCTCAGCCTCTAAGTGCTGAAATGCTGGACATGTGCCACCATTCCTGGTTTCTGAGTCTTTCTTGTAGAATGGGGTTTTGTCATGGCTTTGGGAAGGGAGAAAATACACTGAATTACACAAATTAAATCAAAGCATGTTTTCATCTTTTTCACCGTGCTGAGGGTCACATGAGGCAAGTAGCTACCAAACACATTGAACGTGTTTTCATGGGTTCCTGGCTCAATGATGTCACGCTTATACTTGTGGCCCTCATTATCAGAGCTGAAAGGTAAGACTCGTATGTCAAATTGGTTTTGTCTAAATAAAAATCAAAAGTTTTTATTAGCTTCATTATATTTTTGATCAAAGAAGATTGAATCTTAGCCTCAGAAGTTCCCTATGACTTAGCATCTCTCTAAAAACAGTTAGAAGACTAAACATACATCCCAGCAGTGGTATTTTCTGTTGGCTAGTGCCCTTGGCTGATGTATACTTCCTGATTGTTTGTGTAATTGCACGTCCTATGACACACGCCACATCTTACTGATATCAGAGTTGAGAATTTTAAGGATAGTTAAAGTGATAGCCATTTCCTGCTTTAGTGGATGCTGTCTTTAGTCCAACAGATCAAGCACCCAGGCTTCCATTACATTTTTTTTTTTTCAAATTTAAGATTGGAAGCCTTGGTGCTTTAAGGTTCTGATGAGAATTGTCCAGATTTTCCTGAAGGGGAAGGGGAAACTTATATGAAAAGTCCAAAATAAGTGAACTTTTTGCAGCTTGACTCAAACCAACTGTAAAAAATGTAAAACAATGAGGGAATTTGGACATTAGTTAGGTGTTGGAGGCTAGAATTCTGGGAGAGTTTTTCAAGCAGAACGACTACGCTGTTTATGTTTCTCATAACATGTAATGTCTTCAAGTGACGAATAGTACAATGTTTCCAGGTGAATGACCTTTGGGTGAGACCGTCCACTGGGCTTAGTGATGTCCTGTGGGCAGCGAATGCAGATGGCAGTGATTGGAGCTGAATGATTAATACATAGGATTTCACTATTCTGCTCTCCACATTGGTATGATTTGCAAGGTTCTTTTAATTAATTTTATTTATTTTTTTTCCTTTTTTGGAAATAGGGTCTCACACTGTAGCTCCAACCTTTCCCAAACTCAGAGATCTTCCTGCTTCTTCTGGCATAAAAGTTGTCCACCATCTTGCCTGACCGATTTTGCAGTTTTACCCACTATAAGCATCACAGCATGGCATGGTGGCACACACTTGCAATATCTATACTACTGGAGAGGCTAAAGCAAGGGGGATCACAAGTTTGAGCCAGCTGCTTGAGGGGGGGATCCTGTCAAATACCAGCCAGCTGAGGGCTGGGGTGATGGGTGAGTATTTAAAGTAATTACTGTACAAACACGGGATCTGAGTTTGAAGCTCTGGAACTATGAAAAGCCATAATCTCAGTGATCCAACAGTCAGGTGGGAGGCAGAGGCAGGAGAATGCACAGAAGCTCACTGGCTAGCTAACCTTTGCACACGGTATGCAGAGGGATCCTGTTTCAAATAGTGGAAGGCTAAGACTAGCACCCAGAGTCATCCTCTGACCGCCACATGTACACTGTGACACATGTATGCCCAAATTCACATAAATGGATGTATGTGCACATAGAATTTCTATCTGTGCACCTGAAGACAAAGCCAGCTAGCTAAACAACAAAACAGCTAGCTAGGTGTCATAGCCATGCCCTGTAGTACTAGCATTTAGGACACTGAGGCAAGAGGGTTGTAAGTTCAAGGCCAGCCAGGGCTACTTACCGAGATTCTCAAACAGCAAAACAAAAGCAAAAACAAAGCTAAATAAAAATATAAAACTATTTTTGTTCTCTTGTTGCAGTAACTTGCACCACTAAAAGAAGAAAGCTTTTGATGATTTCTGGGGAAGATCTGTTATTATTTCTTCATAATCTCTAAGCATTTCTTTTGGCTTTTATATTTATTTCATCTGCTTTTGCTTTTGTACATTTGTTCCTCTTTTTCAAGGAAATAGATTATTGAGTATACTACAAGGGGGATCGGAGTGAGCAGTCACCAGAGTACTACCTGTCTTCTTGTACATTCTTTTGTTGTGTTTTAAAGACAAGGTTTCTCTGTGTAGCCCTGGCTGTCCTGGAACTTGATCTGTAAACTAGGCTGGCCTCGAACTCAGAGATCTACCTGCCTCTGTCTCCTGAGTGCTGGGATTAAAGGTGTGCGCCACCACCACCTGGCTAAAGATTTATTTATGTTTGTATTTTATATGCAGGAGCACTCTGTCCTCATGCCCACCAGAAGAGGGCACCAGATCTCATTACAGACGGCTGTGAGCCACCAGTGTGGGTGCTGGAAACTGAACTCAGTACCTCTGGAAGAGCAGCCAGTGTTCTTAACTGCTGAGCCATCTCTCTAGCTCTCCTTTTGTACATTCTTAATAGCTAATTTTATATCTTTATAGTCAACTAAGATATAAATTGTTCATTTTTACTGTTAGGTTTATTTTTATTTTCTTCATAATTGTGAAACTCCAAAAAGTAAGATGATTCTCCTGTTCTTGCCCTGCAGTATGAAATCCTGTGCTTGCTTATCTGACGCAGGTGACGGTCCTTCACTTCCATGTTTCTGCCCTACCTCTCACTTCACATAAAATGCTTGTTAGTATGTGCCTGGTTTTTGAAATATTTATTAGCCAAACAGGATTAAAGTGAAGCTCACATTAGAGATGAACAGGTATGACTAATCCACGTAGATCCAAAAGTCGGTAGATTTGAAAGTTCTTTAACGTGCACAAATATTGAAGTCATGGCATTTTAAGTGTATGTATCCCCCTCTCTCTTGTAGAGTGAGTCTTTGGTGGTTTGTGATGTTGCTGAAGATTTAGTGGAAAAGCTGAGAAAGTTTCGTTTTCGAAAAGAAACCCACAATGCTGCCATTATAAGTAAGCTGAAGTTGCCTCGAAACTCTATGATGTGGTTTGTGTTTTCCTGCAGTTCCTTTGACTCTGCCAGGCCTTTAGAAAGTAACAGTTCTCCTGTCCGCTGTACTTGTCACTGCCACCTCTGCAAGTTAAGACTGTGCTCCCTCCCTCCCACCCCCCAGGTCACTACCAACTCCGCTCAGAAGCTGATTGTCTTGGTCCCTTAGGAATGAGGTCCCCATTTGTAGTGACTTTTTTGTCTTTCTCAGGGGCTAACATTCACACCCAAATGGTAAAGTTCAGCGTTGGCCTCCTTCTAACTGTACGTTACTTCAGTTTTGTGGAGAGGGCTTTACCTGTTTTCGTAGCTAATACTTTGCGGGCAATGATTTAGGTGAAGGAAGGTTGAGAGACTGAAGATGTAAAAGTATAGACCTGGCCTAACAGATCCATCATCAACTGGTGACACCTTATGAATTTTGGTTCTGTTATAAATAAATACTATCATGTGGTCATATGGTTCTTTTATTTGTTTTATTATTTTTGTTGTATGAGCGCTCTACATGTATGTCTGCATGCCAGAAGAGGGCATCAGACCCCATTATAGGTGGTTGTGAGTCACCATGTGGTTGCTGGGAGAACTGGGAATTGAACTCAGGACTTCCGGAAGAGCAGCCAGTGCTCTTAACCTCTGAACCATCTCTCCAGTCCCCTTTTATGGTGTTTTTTTGTTTGTTTGTTTGTTTGTTTTTAGTGGCCATATGGTTCTTAGTAGGGAAAATGCAATAGTGCTGTTTACCCCAACAAATGAGACTGTTTGAAGTCACACTGTATGCCCATAGGATTTAATGTGAATTTAGTACAAACTCCAACATAGTTTATTCTTTACACAGATAGAAAAGAATAAAGGCATGGGTGGTCTAAGTTTACTTTGATTTAGGTTTCGATTATATCATTTATATTTGAATATATTTGAACAGAGGTGGAATTGGTAATTCACTTCCTTAGACTAATGACCATATGCCATGAAATTATAATGTTGGAGAAGCTATGGGTCTTGGGGTTTCTCTCTTCTGAGCCCTGGGCAGCTCTTCTTTGGCAGTTTTAACCACGTTGCACATAGAGTCTTGGTCAGAGTTAGTCTTCCAAGCCTCTTTTTATTTCGAAAGATATTCTGGAGTCATGAAATTCTCCATCCATACAGTCCATGTGAGGAGCTGTTAAGAGTCTAAATAAGCAAGTTCCATGTTGGGAATTGTACCCGGAAGTGGAAAAGCTCATACCTAAGTGTATTTATGCTGTGTTTCTTGATGCCTTAGTTATAGGTGCTTCCCTCCCTCCATCTAGACTAGAGCTGCATGGGTTGCATGGGCTGGGTAGTCTAGGTCACTAGAGTCACACTTATATTGTTTCCCTTATAGTGAAGATTGACAAAGATAAGCGCCTGGTGGTACTGGATGAAGAACTTGAGGTTTGTTCAATGTGCTAAATACAATTTTTATAGTTATTCCATTATTGTTGTCTAAACAATGCTGTTTGTTACATGTACTAAAACACGTTCTGGGCCTCCTTAAATATGTACTAATTATGCATGAAAAGCATGGGCTAAATATTGGTTCCACACTGTCTTGCTGATTTAACTGTCCTCTGTAAAGCACTAATGAGATCCAGCATGGTAAGCAGGAGCTGGCGGTCTGTACCTAGTAAAGATGAGTCAGCTCGTGGCTCGTGAGCTGTGTGCAGAGTGCTGTCACACTAAAGCCGGCCACTGGAGGGGCTGGTGGAGTTGCTGTTCCCTCTGCTGCTGCTTCTGTCACTGTCACCCGGTGTTTCCTGACAGTGGATCATGAGCACAGTGGGAACACTGTCCTTTAGCCCTTTGTCGATAGAAGCGCTTTTGTGATGTGATAACGAATTCCTAGCTCTTAGCAGATTGGGTGCTCAGGGGATCTTTGGGTAAGGACATGCTTCAAAGTTTCTTTTCTCCATGCTGCCAGGGCGTCTCCCCAGATGAACTGAAAGATGAACTACCTGAGCGGCAACCTCGATATCCTTCTCTAAGTGGTTTGGGACAATTTTTGTTAGTCATCAGGATTTTATTTATGAACCCATTTGTTCAGCTTTCGAAAGATATATTTTATATGGCCTGCAAAGAGAATGGGGGGACTGTTGGAGGAGGGAGATGGAGGACAGCTGTGAGCAGAGGACTGCATATAAGACTGCTAAGACGCCAACAAAACACCATGACCCCGGCCCAGTTAAAATACCTATGCGTGTCGTAGACAGGAACAAGGAAAGTTGATGCATTTAGATTTCGTTTTAAAAACTTTTTCTTTAATGTGCACATAATAAAAACTGATAAAGAAAAATTAAAACTGTACTTTTAACAAGTTTTTTTTGAGAGGCTGCATGATTTTATAATTTGTCCTTGGGGCCTGTTTTGTAGACTGATATCAAAAGCGTGGTGTTAGATTGAATGAAAAAGGCTGTTCACTAGCTCCAGGTGTTGATCGTTGCCTGTCTTAGAGCAGAGGCTTTAGTTTCTTTAACTTGAGAAAAACCTTCATTGTATATAGTTATAAATACCAGCATGATGATGGAAGAGTCTCTTACCCTCTGTGCTTCATTTTCTCCAGCCCTGTTGGTAAGTCACTTTCTTTAATAATGTCTACTTGGCTTTGATCCTATTGAACCGCCTTTTGCTATGTATAAAAATGAAGTTGTTGAGTAGCCTAAACTGAGGTCAGTTGATGTGTGTGTTTGTGCACACACCTTATACACTCTAGAGCGGGTACCATAAAGTGTTGTCTCTCGGGACTCACTTATCTCTGCCAGTTAATTCCTAGAAGTGTAATTGCTGAGTTCATCATATATTCTAATGATTCATAAATATAATGGCACCTTTTAGAATCAGAAGTATATATTTTAATCTTGTTTAGTATGTGATCTTTGTGCGGTCGTGGTACTACACATAAAAGGAGGTACTAGGGATCTGCATGTAATAAGATGGTATTTTTACTATGTCAGTTAGAATAGTGCTGAATAAAGTTTTTAAGTGTCAAGACTGAAAATCAGGGCCCATGGGAGATCTAGACCCATTTTAACTTTGAGTCGTCTGTCTTTGTGTAGACAGTATACAGTGGAAGAATTACAGTGTAGCCATATGCATTTAGAGCAAGACTTTTGTAAACTTAGTAGCAAAGGGAATCCTGACTAGACCTTTGTGAAAGACAAAGGTAATGGAAGCCACCACCCTTCCTAAAGCCACCCGTTTCTGTGCTGTGTCTTCCAGGGTGCAAGCCGGAGCAGCAGATGATGTACGCGGGGAGCAAGAACAAGCTGGTCCAGACCGCTGAGCTGACCAAGGTAGTGCCTGTGCCGACACGCCTCCTGTAGAGGACGGCGCCATAGCCAGGCAGCAGCTGCAGACGGGTCTTCTCTAGCCGAAGCCCTGTGACTGATGTGCTGCACAGAATAAAGCTTTGTATTAGGAGGAGGAGAACTATAGTAATCTTTGAACCAAAATGTGTTTTTAAAATAATTTGATTTTTAAAAAGTAACTTTCAAAATGTGAGTAGCTTCACATAGTGGTACATGCCTGTAAACCCAGCACCGGGGGTTCAAGGCTACTTTGGGTCACATAATGAGATTATCCTAAAAGAAGAAGGAGAAAAGCAAAGATCATGGTAACCGCAAAGCTACTGGGTCTTTGGTACTGTCTGCACCATAATGTGCTAGACCTGACATGCAGTCTGCACATGACTCCTACAGCTGCCGTCATCTCGTTCTGTACAGGTGTTGGGATTGATGGTCATCTTTCTGTAAATAAGAAAACAGACTCATTGGATAATGGAACTTAGCACCAAGCCTTGTAATCTTGCTTCTGATCCCTAGAACACACATGGTATAAATAGAGAACCAACTCTGTAAGTTGTTCTCTGGCCTCCGTACACATACTACGGTTCATAAGTGCACGCATGTGCTTGTACACAAACACACACACACACAGATACAAGTGTCATTTTAAAGGTAGAAAGAAAAGCAGGTTCAGAAGGTGAGTGACTTGTTCAGGGTTGCGTGTTAGAGCTAAGATTCTGACTTACATCTGGTTCCAGATCCCATCTGTTTGCTGTAACTTCATCTCCCTCTAGCCGTGTGCTTCCTGGACTGAACTCACATTTCTGCTGGAGAACTGTAGCTTCCAACTCTGAGTGTAGCCTCATCAGATTAGTCAACAGCTGGTGTTAACATCTGATACTCAGACTGTGAAAGCGCGGCCTTATGTTTCTTCAGCTCCTCGCTGGGTTGATTTTAGATATGTATGCTTGGCTGTCTTTTCTAATGGGCAAGGTTGACAGAATTACTCTTTGAACGTGCGTGTGCTGGTTTAGAATTTGTGGTTCTAAGAGTGCAGGTTTTATGCCATCTTGATTGCTATTCTTTGGTAACTTAAGTATTTAGCACTTAAAAGGAGTTAAATATTACTGAGAAGTTACATCTGATTTACTCAGATTACATGACCAATATGAAGGAAACAGAACGTGGTATTTAATACTCGGTGCAATGTAGGGTTTGGTTTTTAGAGGGATGGACTATGAATGACTTCAGTTTGTTTTTTCCTTCCTTAAGGTATTTGAAATAAGAAACACTGAAGACCTAACTGAAGAATGGCTACGTGAGAAACTTGGATTTTTCCACTAGTGTGAGCTTCGGTGTTTCTAAAGTATTTATGTATTAACCTGACCATACTGGAACCAGACATAGTTAATTTATGCCTCAGAATGCACTGTTACTTACAGTTTGTTTCCTGCAGTAAAGAAAACGTCTTCATTTGTGCAGTCTGAACAAAGGAGAAATCATCTTCATAGTAACGGAACTTTGTGACGTGTGGCCTTGTGTTTGTCATTGTTAGCTGGACACTTTTCTCCAGGGGTGATGTGCACCCTCGTGACTAATTTCTGTGATTTATGGTTCAGACACTAGTGGAAGGTGGCTTTAGGCTCTGATAGACAGCAAGTCCTCCTTTGACCACCCCTGGGCATGGGCAGTCTGTAAGTGCAAATAGCGTTCCATCACTTGTCACGCCATCCAGGTTCCTTGGGGCTTAAGTCTCAACCTGGCCGATTCTGAGCCAAGAGCAGTGATTTGGTAGAGCTTCTGCTGCTCTGTCCATAAGTTTTCCTTCTCTCTTGGTGTCCTGTAGCTTTGTAATCAAGTGTAGAAACTATATCAGTCACTCATTCTTAAGGTCTGTGAGTTGGATTTTATGGTAGAGTTAGGATTATTAGGTTTTTTTCTTATGAGAAATAGAATCCTAGTCTAAGAAACTGGTGAGTTGTGTAATCAAGGGCTTCATTCCTGATTATGTCACTAACAGGGAACTTAGAATGTGGCTTGGTAACACTATAAAGCACCTCCTAATGTCTTTTGAGCACCGTTTTAAATGTGTTAATACTGTGCCTTTGATTTGTCAGCATTAACGTTAGCTTAAGACTTCTACACTGCCAGTATTCTAAATTTGGCGAAATTAATACTTTTTTAAAAGGTTCAAGTAAAACAATTTTCTAAGATGTATAACTGAAGTTTGTAATAAAACCAACTTGTTATTTTTAAACTTCCAACTATCTGCCCAAAGTCGTGAATATGTGGTAGGTGAGAATTATGATTTGGGGTATAATTACTATTAGCTTTGTGCCATATGTAAGCATTACTTAAAATGTTGGTCATAGTTAATAGCAACATATCAATTTATCCTAAATGTCAGAAGAAATTCTATTATGGACAAAGCCAGTCATGTTAGATGGTAGCACCATTGTTAGGAAGCAAAACTTCTAATCTACTTGTAGATATTACGTTACACTTAAGAAAACATGTAGGAAACTACTGAATAGTAATTTGATTTAAAAAGAAAAATAGAGAGACTATAGAGGCAGATCAAATTCTTATATTAAGAAGGTAATCATTTTGAGCTGGGCAGTAGTAATGCACACACCTTTAATTCTAACACTCGGGAGGCAGAGGCAGGCAGCTCTCTGAGTTCTAGGCCAACCTGGTCCACAGAGCTAGTTCCAGGACAACCAGGGTACACAGAGAAGCCCTATCTATCTCAAATAAACAAACAAACAAAAACCTAGCAAAAGCATTTTTACGTTGGTGCAGTTCATTGCATACTGTTTGTCTTGCTTAGGGTTCTGCGCCAGCTTTACTGGAGGAAAGGTAGTTGGACTTTGACAGTGGAATAGCATGTGTTGTGGTCCCAGCTGTGTGTTCATTAACCTGTGTGTCAGGAAGCAATTGCAAGTGCTAAAGGAGGTGTTTGCATTGCTCATGAATGGAAAAGTTCCTTTATTTCGGTTTCCAGAGAATGAGAAACGTTCACCCAAGAAGTCTGAGATACTATGCAGGTTTTTTGTTACAGGCTAGAGAATAGCTTGCTTTTAATCCTACAGAAAGCAAATGAGATCCAAGTAGAGAGTGACTTTGATGTTTTTGAATGAAGCAAATAAGGTTTTGTTTCAGCTGGTTGCATAAGTATGCTGTTGAATGTAATGCTACAAGAGTGTACATTTTTAATATGGCTCCTTATTTTGGCTTGCACGTTTACCTTAGTTTTGGAAATCTTGAGGTCTTCCATCAGATCGATGGTACTGGCCTGCCGTACACAGGATGCTCCAGTCCTCCGGCAGCAGCACCGCGGCTGTCAGCAGCTTGCTTCCTGAGCTTTTCCAGCCCTTCCCAGTAAGTGTGCCTTTTGGAAGGCAGCACATTGGATTGGGTCATCAAATGAACATTTTTATTCTGCCTGTCCATAATGCAGGTTTGTAAGTCCTATGCTCCAAAGTATTCCTCAAATATTTATGTACATTTCCAGTTAGCTAAAATTTACATTCTTTTAAAGTATTTTTATTACTTTTCTACCTTTCCATAAAGAGTATTTCCCAATTCCATAATTCCAGCTTTTACACTCCATGTCTTTCTGGAACAACCATTCCTACTCAGCCTTAAATCTGAATTTTTTCTTTTTGGAAGCCACTCTTTCCAGGAACCTCTTTGGTTTTCTAAGTCAGCATTGGTTCGGAGATTTTTGATCTTCTCAAAGTTGTGCATAGCATCTAATGTCAGAGCCTACTCAGAATTACCAGGTGTATTTAATGCAGTTCTGTGACAACCTGGGTGGTGTATGAAGAAAGGTGTTCTCAGGCTACTGTGCTGAACTTCCAACATGTCTAAGTTCTGAGCAGTAATCACTTTGTTCTGATATTGAAACAATTATGTTAGCAAAAAAGCTGGGTGACTGTTTTGTTTAATTGACTTCTAAACTCTGTTCGAATTGCCTATCTGAAGAGTTTACTGGATGCCTAGTGCAGTTAAACATTCTCTTGTGTGAGGGGTGTTAACTAGATTGTTTGTCATTACTAAATAATTTGTAGCAAATGTGTGTGAGCATTTCCCCTCCCTTTTTGTCTCCTATTTTCAGGAGCCAAACTTAGCCATAAACTGTATCCTGGTCTGACACTTTCACTAATGGTTTCCAGTTAGAGGAGTTTATTGCCGAATTAAGCTTGGCTCTTATCCCACCCAGACAGAAACTAAGGAAGGTACACAGAAGAAGTGTTTGTAAAACTCATGTGAGGGCATCAGTCTGTATGTGGACCAGTGAACAGATATTTTCATAAGGGTTAAAATGCCAATATTTGGGAAGTAGAGAGTAGAGTATATTCTATCAGTTCTATTGAGTGTTAATATGGTTGTATTCTTTATTTGTTCTCTGGACTGATAATACTGGAATCCATAAAGTTTGAGCCTTTACAACTTATATGAAGAAATGTTGCGAACATTTCTGGATGAATCTTATTTTGTATTTCTGGAAGAATGTAAATAATCTCCTAGGCCTCTTCGTGCTGACGGTTCCAAGGCAAATGTTTGCTAGGCCATTTGACATTTCAGATCAGTGAGCATATTCCTGTCATGTTTATAACAGTTACATTAAGCCTGTGATAGAAACAGTGTCTTGCTTTTTAGAATATAAATACTTGAATATTGTTTGACATCACCAACATGCCAGGGCAAGTCCCACTGATTTTCATGGTCCAATATAATCTCATTCAGGAGGCTTAAAGCATTGGTGGTTTAGTCTTGTGGATTTTCACAGTTCTCTGTTGTTTAAGAGAACCGACAACTGGCATACTCCTTCAGCTGTGCTCCGTCTGCTAGCTCATACCGCATGTTGATTTTGGAGTCTTTGGTAAGCATGGTGCTTGTATTGGTTTAAATAAAACGCTAACATGAAAGGAAGTCGAGTGTTTCGTTTTTCACCTGCCTTCTACCACCTCCTGTGAGTTTCTGGGAGACACGTGTCCATTTAGCAGTTTACTTTGTGGGGGAAAACCAAATAACAATAATAACAAAAGACAGGAATCCTTGGGCAACTTGGTGGAATGTGACGTGGAACTTTTTGCTGCAAAAATAATGGATTTGTAAGAAATACCAGTGAACAGCAGTAGGGGCAGAAGGAGCAGTTCCAGATGCTGAGCCTGGCCTTGAAAGGGAGACTTAGGAGTTAGGGGTCCATGTGCCTCTAAGCAATCCTGTCATTGTTTATACTCATGCACCCTTCCTGCTTAAGGGACTGTGCTACAGGGTGGAGCCAATGGTGTCTGTTAGAGTGGATACATACAAATCCCTGATAGCTCTATAGTTTACCATGTACTATTTGTGATTAAATCTGTAATAGTCACAGTTTGTTTGGGTTATGAAAGGAGTAATTAATGCCTTCCTTTAAGAATCTCAGAAGGAAACCTGACCACAGCCAGGAACCATTTTTCTTATTTCTCAAATTTGGTCATTTAGCTACTCAAAGAGCCTTTTTTTATTATTATTATTTCACTAAAAAATATGCCCCTTGCTGCATCCTAACATGTAGAAGGTAGAAAGGTCGGCACCGCTCCCTGTGTTCCTTCTGTACTAACCGTTACTTCATTCATGAGGCCTGCCAGTCCTGCCTCATAAGCCTGCTGCTCTGGGGGCGGATGGAGGGTTCAAGACAGGGTTTCTCTGTGTAGCCCTGGCTGTCCTGAAACTCTCTGTAGACCAGGCTGGCCTCCAACTCAGAGGTCCTCGGCCTCTGCCTCCTGAGTGCTGGGATTAGAGGCATGCTCCACCACTGCCCAGCTACATGTAAATTTTCAAAACATGAATTTTAGGGACCTTGTCAGATGGCAAAAGCAGCTAGGTACAGATATTCATTCGCTATAAGACGCTCTGCACTGCGTCTTTCCCCCTCTGCACCTGTGTGTTCTTATCCCTCCTCCACCCCAGTACACAGTCCTCTTCCAGCCCCAGCTGACTGAACCCTAAGGCATCTTCTGTGGTATCGCCCAGCGGGTAGCAAATAACAATCTGGGTCAACCATTCTTATAAATAAACAGCTGGCTGTGGAAGCTGAATGTGAGGGTGCTGGTTAGGGAGATGGCATGTGTAAGCCCCAGAGGCCAGCCTGGTCTGCAGAGTTCCAGGACAGCCAGGGATACACAGGGAAACTCTGTCTTGAACCCTACCCCCCCCCCCCCCAACCAACACAAAACAACAACAACAACAACAAAAACCAGAAAACTTGCAAAGCATCAATCACCAGTGAAAGCAGGGCCTTTAGGCAAAAGCCTCAGCACAGAATAAGCAGCAGGCCTAATGGCTGAATCCTGCTAAGCAGGGGGCTCCAAATCAAAGAGCCACATTTGGGTTTCCACTCCAAGAGCCTCCTTTGATCCAGGGCCACTCTTCAGTCCCTTCTTCTTGAGGCCTGGATGGCCATGTTTTCTAGATCCTCTGCATGTCTTAGCAGAAAACCTCAATTTCTACAGTCAACATGGGCAGATGTTTGCTTCTATACAGAAGTGTAAATAGAAGTTTCTCTGTCTTGCAGCCATTTTTTAAATAATCACTCAGAGGCTTAATACTAATTACAAAATGATTGGCCAAACAGCTCAGACTTACTACTAACTAGCTCTTGCATTTAAATTAACCCATTTCTATTAATCTATGTTTTGCCTTGTGGCTGTGGCTTTTACCAGTCCACTGGCATTGGGCGACTGGCTTGGTCTGTCTCCACTCTGCCCTTCTTTCTCACTGTATTCAGTTTGGCTTCCCTGCCTAACTGTATTCTGCCTTGCACAGGCTAAAGCAGCTTCTTTATGGAGCAATGGGGGTAAAACATTCACAGCACACAGACGGGCATCCCACAGCACAGAAGGGCTGAACTACAGGACCAGCTCTAGGGCATCTGCCACTGTGGTCGGGATTCACACTCAGCCCAGCATCTCAGCTTCCTGAGTGGCTGACACTCATGCTTCCCCCACCTGCCCAAACCAGTGCCCTTCAAAAGCCACCTCGAAGTCTTTGAAACCACAAAATGCTGTCTGTTGAACTAAATAAAGGGTTCTTTAAAAAAAAAAATCAATGAGGGGCTGGAGAGATGGCTCAGAGGTTAAGAGCACTGCTCTTCCAGAGGTCCTGAGTTCAATTCCCAGCAACCACATGGTGGCTCACAACCATCTGTAATGAGATCTGATGCCCTCTTCTGGCCTGCAGGCATATGTGGAGGCTGAACAATGTGTACATAATAAATAAATAAATCTTTAAAAAAAATCAATGAATAAGCAAAAGGAAGAAAAATTCCTCAGTCAAAGGAGTTCATTTGTGACATTTCGGCTATATTTTCTCTGTCTCTGAGCATACATGTTTTCTTCCTCAGGCCCCTCAGCTTCTCTAGTGACTCATTCTGAATTATACTTGCTTTTTTCAGGTAATAAGGATTCCAGCCTATTGTTAATTTTTTTTTCTTTTAAACTTCCTCTTTTGTCCTCCCTACCATTCCACTTCACCTTCAAATATACATAATGTTGAGAATGCTTCTATTCAGGGCCAGAAATATCTGTACCATACTAGCATCCTGCCTAATGCTTCAGTACTAACCGACTCTGGTTCCTCTGCGATGGGGGAGGACCAGTGCAACAGAACGAATGTGAAGCCTCATTCGCTCTACACGGCGGTCGTCTAAAGCTGCCTTCCGAGTGCCGGTGTCAAGTGTGTCTCCTTCTCTGAGGTGCTTTTTTTTTTCATTAGCTTCCCACCCTCCCCAGTTGGGGGCCTCAGGTCCTGTGGTTATGGTTTCTGTGGCTGGTGGTTCTGCAGCTCCTTGCCTTTGCCAGCTTTTGGTGGTCATCAGTCTTTAGATGCTAGGCACCTTGCCTGGTCCTGCTCACCCCCTCCTCCCGTCATGGGTGTCTGTTATATCTCATTTTGCCTGTTCTCCTAATCTGCACACCTTGCTTTCCCGGCCAGACACTACCGCGGCTGGCTTTTCTGTTCCCAGCGATACCTACAGCTGTCCCTCAGGTCCTCTCCCTGCTCATTCATCCCAAGGCAGCCATGTATCATCATCATATCATGTCTTGTCATATGGGTCATTCTCCACACACCCCTTCCTTCGCTCTGATACATTTTCCCCTGATTTTTATAACTTAGCAGATTGAGGTGAGGTCTCTCAATTGGAATAGTATGGGAACGTTTTGTTGCTATTTTTAAAATAACAAAATAACTGATTCAGACCTATTTTGATACATTTTTGAAAGAAATTATACATTTAACACTCCTGTGTATTTTAACCCTCACTTGGAGAACTTAGTAAGTCACCGATTGCTGGCTCTAGCTATGCAATTTGGAATTGAATGGTATAGAACATTGGTTCTCAACCTATGAGGGGGCATGGCTCTTTTCGAAAGGGGTCAAACAACCTGTTCACAGGGGTTGCATATCAGATATTTACACTGCAATTCATAACAGTAGCAAAATTGCAGTTATGCAGTAGCAATGAAAATCATTTTATGGGTCAGGCAGTGATGGAGCACACTCAGGAGGCAGAGGTAGGTGGCTCTCTGTGAGTTCGATGCCAACCTGGTCTACAGAGGTAGTTTCAGGACAGCCAGAGCTACACAGAGAAACCCTGTTTTGAAAAACCTAGATAGATAGATAGATAGATAGATAGATAGATAGATAGACAGACAGACAGACAGACAGACAGACAGACAGACAGACAGATAAACTTATGGTTGGCGTCAGCACAACTTGAGGAACTCTATTGAAGGGTTGAGGATCACTGCTAGAAGGAGGCAGGATAACTTGGATAATTTACATTTCTAACAACTGCCCAGGTGGAGGGGCTACATCAGCTTAACCTTTAAAGTTTTATATTATTCATCGAAAGGTGTACTTGTTTGAGGTTTTATGCTTATTCAAATCTCTTTTTACATTTTGGTATAAACTAGATGCAGGCTTGATTTTTCACAGTAATGCACAATCATGATTAACAGTACTATGAATATTTATATACCTACAGATATTTCCCATTAAACCTGTTTTTCTTCTTTAGAGAAGAAATCTCCAAACAAAATCTGGGTGACTTAATGGTAGATCTTTGTGCAGTTTTCTAGAGAGAAGAGAAGCTTCTAAGTAGTGTGTGTTCTGTCTGTGATAGTTTATTTTTTATTTTTAGTTTTTTGAGATAGGGTTTTATGTTTAGCTCTGGCTGTCCTGGATCTTGCTGTGTAGACCAGACTGGCCTCAAACTCACAGAGATCCTCTTGCCTCTGCTTCCAAAGTGCTGGGATTAAAGGCATGTGCCACCACTGCCCGGTCAAATGGCACAGTTCTTTTTTTTTTTGCCATACATTTTTTTCCCACTTTCCTACCTTCCTTCCCTTTCCCCTTCTACCCTCTTTCGTGATCCCCATGTTTACTCTGGAGATCTTATCTTTTTCACCTCCCTATGTAAAGATATTTTATTTATATTGATACAACAGGAAGTGTTGATAGGCATGTAGTGATTGATATCCTTGCTCTGCGGTAAGCTGAATAGGAGCTGTACCTATCAGGGTTCTCCAGAGAAACAGATTCAGCAAGAAACACACATGTGCGTGTATGTACACTCTCAGTACACATGCACACACACGCAGTATCATCTCTTAGGATTCACAGGGATTGGTGCCAGCATCCCTCCTTGGGTGTCAGAGTCTGTGGCTGTTTAGTTCCCCTAATGAAGATGGGACAGTAATTATACATGACCTATGAACATCCTTCTGTATAGAGACACCTGTAGGTTACTCCTGATACCTCGTGTGATGTAAATCCTATATAAATAGTTGTTATGCTGTAGCGCCTGCATTACGGGATGGCATGTGAGCTGGAAACTAGGCTGGAGACTTAAAAACACACACAGACAGACAGACAGAGACATGGGG